GAAATGGACTGCGAGATGACATGCAAAGGAAAGAAAACGAGCAATAACCCAGGTAAGACCAGAGAATCTAGTGTCGAAGCTGTCACAGCCGACCACCTCGAATGTACATAGAGTTAGGAGTAACTGAACACCAAGAACATAGAATATGGCAAGATTTTAACTTAATTTCGTTTTTGAAGGATTATGCTCATATGAACCTGATAGCGGTCCATGCAATCAGCTACGGTACATGTGGTTCTATAATCAAACTCGTGGAACTTGCGATCAGTTTCTTTATGGAGGTATGCTCATTTGGACAGCTATCTGTATGTGACACACATTTGTTTTAGGTTGTGAAGGAAACCCCAATCGATTTGAATCATTTGAAACATGTCAGACGACTTGTGAGATATCTGGATTAGGTAAGTGTCCTCACTGTATAGGTAAATTAGGTGTAGGGTGGAAGGTAATACAGTTCGAAATCCCTCGTAGACAAACTATAAGACCTACCCAACTTCTATAAAGCTATTTACATTATCAAAAACCCTCTGCTTACGGCAAATCCTTTAGGAATACCGAATGTGTTGAAAACTTACGAGCATATGATAAAGTTTTTTTTTCTCTCACGTAAAATTTCTTTGATTCTCTAATTTTTCTCATCTCGCTGAGAAATTAGTCCTTTTAAATTTTCACGACAGCAGCGAAACTGCAATTTCATAGTTGTGTTGTGATGCAGTCGATTCCTTTCATACTTAATATTTTCAGACCCCTGCATGGAACCTTTGGATCGAGGTAGCTGGTGCGAAGCCATGTCTAATAGGTAAGGGCGGTCAGTGTTTCCCTGACCACTCATGTGTCTGCTTTCATCCAAATAAAATCATAGATTATTACTTACTGCTCCTTTACACAGTGTTCATGCTGTTAAGAAGCAAATTGCACAATAAGCTCATTTTTCCCATATGTACGTTTTGTGCAGGTATTACTTCAACAAGAGGACAAAACAATGTAGAGGCTTCCACTATACGGGATGTGGAAAAAGTGGAAATAATTTCCTGACCAAAGAAGAATGTCATGAGAAGTAAGTCACCAATTTTTTTAGAACTTTCGTGCCATAAATGTCTTAATAATAGATGCGAAAAGCGTTATCCACGAAGTGTCGCCCTGCCTCAGCCAGCTGCATTACCTCGAAGTAAAAAGAAAAAACCATTTATGCGTCTTTCTGCAGGCTGTAAGTTATCTCTCAAGCAAATACATCTACCTCTAACAACAGAAAATTTTAGATAGTGGAACGAAACCAGTGGAGAAAACTGCGAT